TTAAGAGACTAAAATATAAAGAAATAAAAACAAATTCAAGAAAGAAAGAAAGAATGAATCTCGATTAGTGAAACGAATCTCAGAAAGAAAGAAGGAGAGAAAAAAAGAAAAGATAGAAAGAAAGAAAGACAGAAAGAAAGAAAGAGAGAAAGAAAGAAAGAAAGAAAGAAAGGAAAGAAGGAAGGAAGGTAGGAAGGAAGGAAAGAAGAAAGAAAAAGGAAAAAGCAAAGGAAGGAAGGAAGGAAGGAAGGAAGGAAGGAAGGAAGGAAGGAAGGAAGGAAGGAGAAACGAAAATTTACCACGGAGTAGAGACAATATGATTGAGAAAGAAAGAAAGAAAGAAAGAAAAGAAAGAAAGAAAAGAAAGAAAAGAAAGAAAGAAAGAAAACTTAGCAAAGCGTAGAGACAAAATGAAAGAAAGAAAGAAAGAAAGAAAAGTGAAAGAATGGAAGGAAGGAAGGAAGTAAGGAAGGAAGGAAGGAAGGAAGGAAGGAAGGAAGGAAGGAAGGAAGGTAAAAACAGGTTGAAGGAAAAAATATATATACACTTGGATTTGCCAATACGAAACAAGTGAAGATAAATAAAAATTGAAGAACGAAAGAAAGAAAGAAAGGAAGGGAGTAATGAATGAAGAAAAAATAAATTAAGAAAGAAATTTTAATAGGGAAAATGAAATAAACAATCAAATAAAGAACGAAGTTGTATTAGAAAGGAAGAAATTAAAGAAAGAATAACGAAAGAATGAATCTTGATCGGAGAAAAGGAAGTCAATACAAAGAAAGAAAGAAAGAAAGAAAGAAAGAAAGAAAGATAGAAAGAAAGAAAGAAAGAAAGAAAGAAAGAAAGAAAAAAGAAAGAAAGGTAATATACAGGGTGTCTCAAAAAAACAAATTGAAGAAAGAAAGAAACCTAGAACTGAAAGAAAGAAGAAAAAAGAAAGGAATTGTAACGAGGAAAAGTAAGAAAAGAAATTGTAATAGAAAGAAAGAAAGAAAGAAAGATAGAAAGAATAAAAGAAAGAAAGAAAAAAAAAAAAAAAGAAAGGAAAAAATAACGATGGTAATTATCAGATTTTCGAAATAAATAAAGATAATATAGAGGCTGACTCAAAAATAATATATACACACTTTTATAGTGTATAGGTAAACTTGCTATAATTTCAGATTTACTCGTTAGTATTACTAATGTCACTGCCACCCACACTTAGATTTGAACAAAAAAATTCATCCTGAAATACTACTGGTAGTCCGAAAATGCAGTTGAAGTCCAAAAGCGGTATTGGAGAGAGTTTCATTCAGGTCCACCATGCGGCTTACAATCTCACGAATTCGAGATAAGTTTGAAGTTGATGTGCATAAGAATTGCTCTGGAAGACAACGGGTATCAACCAGGCCTTGCGACGCAAGAAAGGATGATGGTAAAGTTTTCACAGAAGTCCAAGAAACTTTTGAAATGTCGATTACTGCGTTGCGTTGTCATTAATGTGTGGATCGGAACGGCCAAGAATTTGAAAACATCTGATGAGAAAATCATAAGAACATGCCTTTATAATAAATACAGTCTACACGTGGATTATTTAAATTAGATATCATAGGATCTAGTTGTTTGTTTGAATTATTTCTTGTGTATACATTTTTAGATATCCCCTAGACTAAAAAAAAATATCTCCATCATATACCACCAATATATATAGTGCAATGAGCAAATCGTTGCCATTTTATATTTTTAATTTAACGCTTACGCGTTGTTTGTTTTAGATTTTTTCGACTGCACACTATAGTAGGGACAGTTGGGCACCGTATGTAAGAAAAAGAACACCATGACGCAATTCACTCCGCCAAAAATTTGAAAAGGCATGCTGTACTGCTTGGCATTCGCGCCAGAAGCTCCAAATGCAATTATTTCATATTGTTTGGGTCTCAATGTGAGAACAGTGTAGAGGTTTCGAAAAGAGTTGGATGATATACCCAACCAACGTCATGCTGTTTGGAGTGAACACTAGTGATGGTGACGTCATGTCTCCATTCATCTTACTACAGGGACTCAGACACGGAAGCCTACATCAACTCACTTGAGGAGGTAGTCTCACCTGGGGTCAAGAGGGTGGCTGCTGGTAGACTCTTCACTATGCTACACAAGCAGGAGAACTCAGTCATGGCTGTCAGAAAATTTCTGTGACCACATCACCTCTGACATCTAGCTACGTAACTCCCTAGACTGTGTGGTTGTGTGTGTAGCTGTGTGTGTATTTTATAAGATGTATATGAAACAAAGTGGAGATGACGAAACAAAGTCGAAAGTCTTATAAACGACACATTTCGTCGATTTGTGTTCTGTTGCATCAGGTCCGAATGAAAGACAAAACTGTGTGTAAGGAAAATTCGTTGGGATCTTTGAGGATAGGGCAATTATGTTATGATAAACGACTGATCAAACAAGAGGTATCTTGTTCTTAGGCGGGGATTGTGTCAACAGAATCACTCTTCCAATTTTACGTTTACAGTCATTTCGATTTGTGTAGTTTGGAGAAGGCCTAAAACAGCATCATATCTCTTTCGTTGTCTTCCGTCGTGTTGCCTTGGATTTCTCTGAGCATTACGTGAGAGAGAAAGAAAAATATAAAGAAATAAAAAAAGAAAGAAAGAAAGAAAGAAAAATTGTAATAGAGAAAAGAAAAGAAAGAAAAAACAAAGAAATTGTAATAGAGAAAAAGAAAAAGAGAAAGAAAGAAAAAGGAAAAAATGTAATAAGAAAAGGTAAAAAAAGTAATACAGAAAGAAAAAAGAAAGAAATTGTAATAAATAAAAGGAAAGAAAGAAAGAAAGAAAGAAAGAAAGAAAGAAAGAAAGAAAGAAAGAAAAAAAGAAAAAGTGTAATAGAGAAAAGAAAAGAAAAGAAAGAAAAAAGAAAGAAATTGTAATGGAGAAAAAGAAAGAAAGAAAAAGAGAACCTTGTAACAGAAAAAGAAGAAAGAAAGAAAAAAAGAACCTTGTAATAGAAAAAGGAGAAAGAAACAAATAAAGAAAGAAATAAAGAAAGAAAGAAAGAAAGAAAGAAAAGGAAAAAGAAAGAAAGAGAAACAAACTATAATAGAGAAAATGTAAGAAAGAAAAACAGAAAGAAAAAAAGAAATAAATTGTAATAAAGAAAAGAAAGAAAAAAAGAAAATATTCTAATTAAAGAAAAGGAAAGAAATAAAAAAAAAGAAATAAATCTTATAGTATAGTCTAGCTGGTCATTCGTATTCGAGGATAACCGTCTACTAGGGCGGCTAAGCAATCCCTATTGCAGATGCTTGCTCAGGCACATTTGTATTTGTTCAACCCCCACAGAACCAACCCGTGGTTTATACTGCAACTATGCTGATCAGGCCTTAGTTACAGTTTCTGGGAAAGAGCGTTTTTATCTAGCGTGATCAACAATTTGAGCAAGTCTAGCACACTCAAACCCTCGGGCACGATGACTTGTTACTTCGTGCTAGCACAGCTATCGATTACCCAATTTCGCTCACAAGGCTTGGGTAAACCTGCTGTATGGTTTTCAGGCACTTTCCAAATGTGCCTCATGCTGGGATTGGTTCATCCAGTCCGATAACTTCAGGAAGTTGAGATTCGAACCCAGATCTCATGGTCAGAATGTTCTAACAAACTCGGCCACTTGAAGAAATACAGAAAAAGAAAGACAGAAATTGTAATAGAGAGTAAGAAAAAAAGAAAGAAAGAAGGAAAAATAAATAAATTTCAGTAGAGAAAATGAATGCAAGATATAAAATGAAACAAAGAGAGAAATTATAGATCCAACTAGGAAACAAAGAATTACGAAATAAATTGTAATAGGGAAAAAGATAAAAAAGAAAACCAAAGAAATCTGAATAGATTAAAAGAAACACGAAAGAAAGAAGAAAAAAATGGTAATAAATTGTTATAAAGAAAGAAAGAAAGAAAATAAATAAATTGTAATGAAAAAAAGGAAAGAAAGAATGAAAGCAAAAGGAAAGGGAAAAAGAAAGAAATTGTAGTAGGGGAAAAGGAAAGAAAGAAAACAAAAAATTAATAAATTGTAGTAGGGGAAAAGGAAAGAAAGAAACAAACAAACAAGCAAACAAACAAAGGAAGGAAGGAAGGAGAAAAAAAGAAATAAATTGTAATAGCGAAAAGGAAGGAAAGGAACAAAAAGAAAAACGAGTTAAATTTTTATGGAGAAATGGAAAGAAAGAAAAAATATGATAGAGAAAAGAAAAGAAAGAAAAAAGAAAGAAAGGAAAAAGAAATAAATTATGATAGAGTAAAGAGAAGAAAGAAAAAAATGAAAAGTAAAAAAAAATAGTAGAGAAATTTAATAGAGAAATAGAAAGAAAGAAACAAAAAAGAAAATTGAATAAATTGTAATAGAGAAAAGGAAAGAAAGAAAGAAAGAAAGAAAAAAGAAAAAGAAAGAAATTGTAATAAAGAGAAAAGGAAAGAAAGAAAGAAAAAAAAGAAAGAAAGAAAAAAAAAAAAATAGAGAAAAAGGAAAGAAAGAAAAAAAGAAAGAAAGAAAGAAAGAAATTTAATAGAAAAGGAAAGAAAAAAAGAAAGAAAGAAAGAAAGAAAGAAAGAAATTGTAATAGAGAAAAGGAAAGAAAGAAAGAAAGAAAGAAAGAAAGAAAGAAATTGTAATAGAGAAAAGGAAAGAAAGAAAGAAAGAAAGAAAGAAAGAAAGAAAGAAATTGTAATAGAGAAAAGGAAAGAAAGAAAGAATGGAAGGAAAGAAAGAAAAAATAAAAGAAAGGAAAATGAAAGAGAAATAAATTGTAATAGAAAAAACAAAAGAAAAGAAAGAAAGAATAGAAAAAAAAAAAAGAAATAAATTGTAATTGAGAAAATGAAAGAAAGAATCTTAATTTTTGAAAAGAATGTGCACAATGCCAGAAATAAATAAAGTATGAAGAAATGATATCATATAGATTGAAAGAAAAAGAAATTGGAATAGTGAAAAGGAAAAGGAGTTAATATTATTAGAAACAAAGAAAGAATTTTGATTAAGGGGAAAAAATGAATAAATAATGAAAGATAAGCTGATAAGTCGTAAAAAGAAACAAACAAGAGAAAGAAATAAAGACAGAAAGAAATTGAAATAGTGAAAGGGAAAGGAAAAGAAAGAAAGAAAGTAGAAAGAAAAAAGAAAGAAACAACAGATTTGTGAAAGCGAAAGAAAGGTAAGATAATAAAAAATAAAGAAAAATCAATTTGAACAAATAAAGAATGAAAGAAAGAAAGGAAGACAAACGAAGAAAAGAAAGAAATTGCAAGAGAAATGTAAAGAAACAAAGAAGAATATTAAAAGAAAGAAAGAGAAACTGAAAGAAAGAAAAAAAGAAAGTAAGAGAGAAAGAAAGAACAATAGGCAGAATAGGGAAGAATTATAGGAATAAAAGAACAATAGGAAGAAAAAATATGAAAGAAGGAATCTCATTTGGTGAAGAGAAAGTCAAGACAATGATAGAAAGAAAGAAAGAAAGAAAGAAAGAAAGAAAGAAAGAAAGAAAAGACCGGTGATGAGGAAGCTGAAATATAGAAAGAGAAAAGGAAATCCATTGTATATTTGAAAGTGTTATGAAATGAAAAGAAAGAAAGAAAAAAGAAAGAAAGAAAGAAAAAAAGAAAAGACCGGTGAGGAAGAAGCAGAAATATAGAAAGAGAAAAGGAAATCCAATGTATATTTGAAAGTGTTAGGAAATGAAAAGAAAGAAAGAAAGAAAGAACGAGAGAAAGAAGGAACAGTAAAAGTCAAGAAAGAAAAAAAAAAAAGAAAAATTGCAGGTAATGTCACCGAAAAGAAAACCGAAAGAAAAATCTTTTAAAGGATAAAAACGAAAGAGCGGAAGATAAAAAATAAAAAATAAAAATAAAAATAACGAAACCATTTTGCTGAAGTCAATAAACTAAGCAGAATCCCGAGAACAAAGAAACAATAAAAAAGGCAAAAAAATCAAAAAAAAAAATCAGCTAAAATGGCGAAGATGATGTGAATAATTCAAATAGACCTTCAATTTGTTTTACTTCTATATTCTTGTGTTGCGTAGTTCACCGGACAGAAAGAAGAAATTATGAAATCTTGCCGCCGATGAGACAGAAGGTCGAGGGAAGAAAATCTACGGACAGAGAATGAATCAGACCTATATATATATATATATATATATATATATATATATATATATATATATATATATATATATATATATTCGTATATATAAAGAGTGAAAGAGAAACAGAATATCAATACAAAACACTCAAACGTTGACAATGGAGACATTTTCAAGCCCGTTTGCTAAAACAAGGTAAGTGTTTGGCGGAAGGTGAGGTGGGGAGGCGATTCGGTCGGAGTATAAAGACCGGCCTTTACGATACAAAGATGATGAATTTTGATGAGACGTTGTTGCGTAAGTAATCTGAGTGGTCGGACGCACTTTTGATTGATTACAGCAAACCGAGAGGTTTGGAGGCAAAAAAAAAGATGCTTTCTTCTTCTTCTTCTTCTTCTTCTTCTTCTTCTTCTTCTTCTTCTTCTTCTTCCAAGTCGTCTTAATTGTATTCTTCATCCTCATTCTCCTATTCTACTTCCTACACCCCCTCCGTCGTCTTCTTTTTCCCTCTTCTTATTTTACTCCTCCAACTTCCTGGCCCCTTTTTTCTTCACCTCTTCTTTTTCCGCCTCCTCCTTTTCCCTCTTCTTCTTTTCATTCGGCTATTCTTATTCTTATTCTTATTCTTCTTATTCTTCTTATTATTATTATTTTGTACGTCTTTTACTCTTCCTCTTCGTCCTTTTCATCATACTCCTTGACTCTTTATTTCATATTGTACTCCCTACGCCTTCTTTTTTCTTCTTCCTCCTCCTATTCTTCTTCTCCCACTTCCTCCTTTTCTTCCTCCTCTTCTTTTTCACCCTACTGCGTTGTTTTCTTTTTATGCATCATTATATATATTCTCCTTAATTCTTTCTTTCTTTTACTGTCTCTTCTTCTTCCTTTTCGTTTTCATCGTCTTCTCATTCTTTTAGTCACCCATCCCCGTCAGGACTTGCAGGTAGAGCAATTATTAGCAATTCGGAAATTGAACTCACAGAACCGGATTCGATTTCCACCCAACTTACGTTCATTTAGCATTAGTATTCTTGGGAAAGGTATATAACTATAGTTTTTCCCATCGCCAGTCATGGGCTAGACAACAAAGTTTGTACTTTCTGTTATTGCTTGGTAACTAGTCAACAATGATTTGTCTGGGGATTGATAGTGGAGTGGTTTCCCGTTGCCTTCACGGTGGTTTATAGATACACTACCTCTGGCCGTTGACTTAAAGAGTTCCCCCGCCCTTTATTGCGAGAGAGGAGGATTTCTTCGGTAACAAAGAAAAGAATACTGAGCTGTTACGTGACATCTGTCCTTCTTTACGGCAGCAAATGTTGGACGATTTCCTCAAAGATGAAGAAGAGACTCGAAGCGACGGAAATGTGGTTCTACAGAAGGATGCTAAGGATATCATGGATCGAGCGTGTGAGCAACGATGAGGTCTTAAAGAGGATTCAAAGAATGAGGGGGTTTATACTTGACCTCAGGAAGAGGCAGCTGAAGTTACTGGGACATATCATGAGGAAGAAGGGCCTGGAGAATCTGATACTCAATGGTCGAATAAAGGGAAGAGACACAACGGAAAACAGCGCGTGAGATACCTGACGGGCTTAAGCAAGTGGATTACAGAACGTAGTCTCGGGGAGGAAGCAAAGGGAAGGAACATGTTGAGAGCTGCAGGGTATAGAGGGTGGTGGAGAGCCATGATCGCTTATGTCCTGAAAGAACATGGCACATAAAAAGAAAGATAGAAGCAGTCAACCCATCGTTAAAGATATAGGAAAGACTGTCGTTTCCTGGCACCGCTCCAGTAAGTAGATACCCTTACAAAAGCCAGATCAGGGCTAAAATGGAGTACGTGTGTCTTATTTGGGCAAGGCAGTCCAGTCCTAACTTTCCAGTTCCCCGAGACCTTGTGGGTCACAAAATATTTTACAACCTGCAACCCCTTTTTTACAGAAGAGATATAGCCTGTCTCCCGCTGTCCTCTCCATACATCCAAGGAAAGTGAACAAAAGAACTTCATTCATGACTTCCACCAGTTCTAATCTTCACGGCTAGGACCCGCCATACCACGAACATTATAGTGAACCACCCGTCTTCCCTTCGTATTTTATTTGTGAGACGTAAACATCTTAGTCCCAAGAACCAATAAACTGTGGAACCGATTCGCAAGAGAATGATTTACCGATCGCTACAATCCTAACCTGTTCATATTTAGGTTTAACCGCTACCTACCCTTACTCAGCTCTCCAAATCTGTGCTTTGGCCAGGTATTTAACTCAAAACACTTTGGATAAAGTCACTTGTTGAATCACTCAACAATATTAGTAGCAATGTATAGGGAGTGCTGGAAAACTGTCGCCATTTTATATTTTTGATTTCGCGCATGCGCGTTATTCGTTTTTAATTTTTTCGACAGCACAGTACAGTAGAGTTAGTTGGGTACCGCCTGAGAGAAAAAAGAGCACCATGACGCAATTCACTCCGCCAGAAATTTGGAAACTGCATGCAGTACTGCTTGGCATTTGCGCCGGAAAATCCAATACAAACATTTCAGACTGTTAGGTGTCGAAAGTATTAAAGTTGCCGTAACTTCATTAATTACCATTAGCCCAATTCAACTCTTTCCGAATCCTCTGCACTATCCTAAGATTGACACCCACACACTCTGAAATGCTCGTATTTAAGCTTCCGGCGTGAATACCAAGCAGTCCACCATGCCGTTTCCAAATTTCTTGAGTCTTGGGGTTCTTTTTCTCACATACGCTGCCCAACAAACTCTACTATAATATGCAGTCGACAAAATCAAAAACAGACGTCACGCATGCGCGAAATTAAAGATGTAAAAATGGCGACAATTTCCCAATCGCATCTTGTATGCGCATGAAACACCTGGTCGTTGTACCGGTGAGGGATAATATGTTATTCTCTCTCTCTCTCTATATATATATATATATATATATATATATATATATATATAATGATAATAAATACATATTTCTGTGACTCAACTCATCACCTGGATATGTTCATAAAACTCAGGGTCGTTCTAGCGATGAGGAAAAATGTATATTTATTAATATTTGATTTATAGCTGTGTTATATTACATCGAGCACTACTTTATTAATACTACCAATCAATGTGCGATATTATATATATATATAGATAGATATATACAGAGAGAGAAAGAGAGAGAGACATCATTCGATTAATGCTTTTTTTGCGATTAGTGCGCTAAAAATTTCATATAGAAAAATTCGATGGGGGCATACATATTACTCGATTAGTGCGCTAAAACTTTCTTATGTTTAACCATAGAAATTGAAAATTGCTTTTTATAGTTACCGATTTGCACATTACCGGCACTAATCGAGCGATGCCTGTATATATATATATATATATATATATATATATATATATATGCATCGAATTCGATGATACACATGCTCTCACTGATGTTCTTGTTCTAAATCTTAATAATGGCACAGCACATACTTTTAATCATTTCCATAAGTGAAATCTATAGCACATTTTTATGTCTGTCTGTCATTCTCTCTCTCTCTCTCTCTCTCTCTCTCTCTCTCTCTCTCTCTTTATATATATATACATGTATATTTAATTAATTCATCGAGTCTGAAAGAAATCTCAACAGAATGCAGAAAGCACTGGACGGCCGTTTCGTCCTGTATTTGGGACTCATCAGCAGTGCGCATCCACTACCGAGAATTGAAACCCTGACAGTTAGGTTGTCAGGCAAACGTCATACCAACTGTTATTTCTTTTTTCTTTCTCTTTCTCTCTTCTCTCTCTCTCTCTCTCTCTCTATATATATATATATATATATATATATATATATATATATATATATATATATATATATATATATATATATATATATATATATACTAGATACTATTGGTATTGTCTCATTATACAATGGTTTCTTTAACTGTCTTTTCTCATATACTTTTGAAACAGACATATAGTAAAAGAATTACACATTTATACATACATATATATACATATATATATATATATATATAGCATGTGTGTGTGTGTGTACATACTTGTGTGTACGATTCTGTGCATCCGGCTTCTTCTTGTAATTGTACGTGTGTGTCCATTTCCTTCATTGATCGATCGATTTATCAATCAGGCGGCTCCTTATTCTGTTGACATGAAATATCTCCACGCCCTCCATCAACTAGCGTTCACTCATGCCTTCCTAAAAAAATATTCTTTTGTTTGTTTTGCTTGATTTTTCAACAAATTTTTATGTCTTTCTACAGCCACTCCAATCTTTTTTTATGTTATTTATTTATTCAATGATGCTAAATCCGCTTCAGTGGCCAGCATTTTGTCTTTTCTTTCTTTTACAAGGCAATGAAGAATAAGAAAGAAGAATAGGAAAAGAATGTGTATTAAATAATTGATAGTCGAAAGACGGTAGCAGCGTTTTGGAAGTTAGGTGGAAAGTGCGAAAGAGCGTGACGGTCGATCGACGAAGCTCACAGAATTAGCAGGAGTTTTAATATAATGGCAATCTATATATAAAATTCTCTGACTTTACTTACTCCGTCCGTCTGTTTGTCCGTCCGTCACACCCTCTAAAATAGCCAGACATTGACCGATCGAATCCAAATAGCAGGGAGAATTTCAAATATGTAAAGTGGGTACAAGGTATAGTTGGTTTTACTACCGCGCGTAGCTTAGTATAATATATTTTAATTAGTTTTTGAGGAAAAAGTAATTGTTTTATTATTGTTGTAGCATACCTACGGAGATAAGGAGTATATCCCCATTCACATAAATACAGTAGTAAATACTGCATGTTGGTCTACAGTTGAAGATTCGTCTCCAGCTGTGCTGGTCAAACTCTCTGCAGAGAGGATCCCCAGACGAAACTCTGTCGAAGGGCAGAGTCTCGTCTCCGGAAACAGCTACCCGACCCGGTTTTATACGGGGTCTACGGAGAATTTTTGGCCAGGTTTACGGGCTCGGATACCCCATATTAAATTCGGCCTTGTGCCACATCTGACCGCATGGAGCGGTTGGTAGATATCCTGTAGTTGGAGATTCATTGTAAAATTCACTTGACCCACTTCTAGAAGTTGGCTACTTCTTCCACGCGCCGCTGTCGAATCTTATATGTGTTGTTCTTGTCCTAATTATTATTGTTCA